TTACCACTGATTAATGCAATACAAATAGCCTTTCGCTAATTCGTGTGCCATCTTGTTGCCTTTTTGTGTGTGTTTGCTTTGTTGCGTAGGCTTACTCGCCCATTTCGAGTGCCGCACGGGGCCCCAACGATTACCCCCGTGACAAGAGGGCGGTGGACTCTGCTCCTCAATGATATCATGCACCTCAGTTTTACTGATCTCATACACCTTGGTTTTACTTGCCTTCCCCTGAACCTTTTGACCTTTCTCTTCAATGTCTCTACCAAGTTCCTCCTCATCCTCTATCTCCTTTCTCTCTGTAGCTATAAGAAAGGACTGCATCTTCTCCACGAAGGCCATCCAATCCATCTGCTTTTTTTTCCTTCTGGTACACATACCATCTGTCTTCCTTTAGTACCGAAGAACTTTGTTACGGCAATATACCATCCCTTCTTATTCCTTCTCAGCTCCACTTCAAAGTTCTTCCCTGGTAATGTCATGGAGTTTTTCCAGCCTTCTTCCTTTATGGAATTAAGTGCTCCATCAATAAATCCTTTCACCCACAGAGTTGCGTCCTCAGGCAAGAAGATTGTCGCCCTATTGCCTTCTCTGATCTTCAGTTCCATCTTACCTTTGGACCACCCCTGTTCGAACCTGAAATTCTTTGCTTCAATCACTAGCTCAGATCACCACCTTCCTTCTATTCTGAAATTCTGTTGCCCCTCATCTCCGAAAGTCACACAATCTCTGTTGCCCCTCTTTCTTGAGTTTGTCTTCACTTTTTTGGAGTTAAGCCATAAATAGACAAGCAATGAACCACCAGGTACAGGGAGAAATTAATGAAGCTGATCTTGCATTAGAGGTTCCAACAGTGACCATAGAAGGATTCTATGGACTAGTCTTTCTTACCTTTTATCGTTCACCTTTTTCTGAATTGTTCTCATTATCACTATGCTCATTTTTTGCATTATTCTGTTTTGTCTTCAATCTATTTTCTCTTATCAGGAAATATCATTATGACTTTCCATCCACAAAATCACTCCTTTATTTTTGTTTCTTCACTGAACCCCTAGTTTGTAACTTTGTTATCATTGGTTCCACCCCAATAGAAACTGCTGAAACTTAGGACCCAAAGTGAAATCCCTAACCGTCATCTTCATCATCATCTAAGCCTTGTCCCAACTACATGAACCCTGTTATATTTGGATCATCCAACAAAAATTAGGGCTAGGGTTACGGCTTAGGTTGAAGTAGTAAGGAATGATTTTAAGGGTTCATAATTTAATAATGGATATGACACTGAACAGAACAGAATGGCAACACACACACACAACCAAATTATCAATCACATCTACAAAGTATTCATCTAACCAATAATGAGTAGAAAATGAGAAAATCAGCAAACAATTGATTTTATCATCAGAGGTTATTAATATGGCATACCTGCACTATAACTGATACTGCTTCCAGGACAAAGATCCCAGATGAAATAAATAATGGAAAGAACATTCCAGTACAAGCAGTCATGGCAGCCAGTGCTCCACCCAATGCCAAGGATCCAGTGTCACCCATAAATACAGATGCCTTGTACCGATTATGCAAGAGAAAACCAACACAGGCACCAGCCATGGATGATCCAAATATAGCAAGGTCTGTTTCAAGTTGTTTAAAGAAAAGTGGTCAAGATCAGGAATCAAGATATATTCCAAAGAAAACATGTAGTTAATACTGAAATCACATATTCTTTGTCTAGGTTAATACTGAAATCACATATTCTTATTAATTGTGTCCAATAAACATTAAAAAGTAAAACAACTAAGTTAGCAGTACTAGAAGGATCACATGCTGCCAGAGAAGAAAAATTATCCAGTTAAACAGCACTAAATTTAAGACAAAAGGAGAAGGTTTAGAAACTGCACACAAGCTAATAAGCTATTTGGGTTCAATGAGGTCACTGACCACCACCCCAACACCCCCCCCCCCCAAAAAAAAAAAAACTGCAACAACAGCAATAGAGAAAAAAATTCACTTCTCCATACCTTCCTCAAGCATCAGCTATCGAATAGCCAACCTTGGGATCCATCTGAACTGTGTTTATACTAGAAGCCAAGATCCTGACCTCCCTAATGAAAATGTCTCGATGTCCACAGCACCTGGGAGACATTTACCATCCATAATCACCCACTGAAAATCTACAAACAACATCAAACCTGTGTTATTGGAGCAATGCCATGAGTTCTACTCTCAAGGAGTCATCTTTGCTAAGGCCTAAAAAAACCAGAATCACCATGCCCTTATGCCCTACCCCCAGCAACTTTGAAAGGGCTATGGTTCACTAATGATGGCCATCAAAATGGAGATTATAATTGGCTCCTAGGGTTGAGCAACTTCAGTTGGGGAATCACAAGGCATCCACCATAGCTTTCTACTGGGAGTTCTAGGAGTTTGTTAAGGAGATTTTTCTCTCCAATTAATTTAATTCCTTCTCACTAATTCTTCCAATTCCACCTTTAGAACTCTTCTGCTTGCCATCTCTTCCTCAGGAAGGTTCATGTAACTATCAAAATTCTATGACTCTGCCATTCAAAAAAGCAAAGATATCTTCTTCCCCCTCCCCAAAATCCCAAAAGTACCCTCCACCTCTTCTCTAAACCTCGCTACATTGAATTCCCCTCATATCGCCCAAAGGTCATCCTAGAACACTAACATTATAGAGTTGATCAAAAAATTCTTCCTATCCCATTACAAACAAGGCCAAAAAATCCATCCACCTTATCTTTCAGCTTAACAAATACTGAAAATGCTCCCATCAACTCCTCCATACTCCATGAATTCATATCTCCTCTCATACCATGCTGTAAGACAACCCCCCAAAGGCACCTAAAGAATGCAAAGTGCCTACCCTTCTCTCGATCAGATGAAATATCAATCTTGTATCAAGGTTTTCAACTTCAATTTCTTGATCATCACAACCTCAACACAACCACCTTAGGAAGTCTCTAGTTTTTCTAGTTTTACTCAATCCTCGCACATTCAAGCTAACAATTGTTATTCTTTTTGTTTTGATTAATGAAAAAAATTATTCTTTACCTGTATCCAAGGACCTACTGCAACTTTTACTAGAAAAGGGTTGGTCAAGAATTACCCTGGAGTCCTTCAAAAGCTCTACTTCAGTGTATCCCTCCAAGATTTTTGCGGGGTAAGGGTAAGAGGCTCTTGCTGCTCAACAAAAATGAAATGCCTAGCCAATCCAAGAGTTGATTAAAGATATTGTCAATACCAAAAAATCTAATTCTTCTACCTTCACCCTCCCTAACCTCTACTTGAATTTCACATCTGATCCCTCCAGCACAAAACCCAGCAGATTTTCTGGAAAAAAATCAAATTGCATCGTCGTAAGACCTGCAAGTTGCAAAGTTGCATCAAAAAGGAATTATTGTATTTTCAATATATTAATTTTTATCAGTATATTATCAATATATTAATGTCTACAAAGATATAGATTAAAAGACCAACCAAGTTACCATTTATCAAAAAAAAAAAAAAACAAAGACCAATCAAGTTACATAAAACAACACACCTCTCTTTAAGTGAAACTTTTAAGTTTCTAACCATTTCTTCAAGTTGATGGAACTGAAGGAAATAATTCTGATCATGAGAAACCTTGGAGTTTCACATGCTATATAACCTCCACAGTCACAATATCTGACTCTAGATTCTTGGGTTTGAGGATTTTCAAGGTATTACTGATTACATTGCCTTTTATATGGTGGAAGTATCAAATTTTGACAATTAAATACTTAAACAAGTTCACAAAGAAATCTAAAGTTTCTTGGTAATACTTTCCCATCCTTTCCCCAATAAATGTAGTTATTGAAACTATAGGATTACCAAAGAAGGATAACTGCATACCTTAAAGGAAAAAAAGGGTTAGGTGTACTGTGTACAACTTATGTCCTACAAGAAAAACCTAACTAAAATCATCACCTTTTAGATTCTTGTCTAACTCTACTAGAACCAACTAGTGCACTAGCTTCTCTTTCACTCTTTTATATTTCTTTTTTTCTGATAAGTAGTCTCATAGCTCTTGGTATGAAACAAGATTCTCCTTGGAATCCTACCCTCCAACAGTAGCATGTGTCTTTTTCCAATTTACATGACTTAAATACAAAGTTGAACTTGATGTAACTTATCTTCTTTTACTGTCACCATATATTCATTGCCATTGTTTTCAGTATACTTTAATTATCACAGGTATACCAAGTTACTAAATACTAACATTGGCATAAAAATAATCAACATGAAAATCACAAAATGCAAAGAACTTTGTAATTTTGATATTTTGGCACACACACCAAACTAATATTCTCTAAGTTTGAGACATTTTTATACTAACCAGAACATATCGGAAGAACAGCAATTGACATGCCTATAAAAGCCAATGCAGATGTACCTCCAGCCAGTCCATCAAGGCCATCTGTTAAGTTAATTCCATTCCCCATGGAAACAAAGCAGAATGTGGTCAACAATAGATAGAGGAGTTCTCCTAGATATAGAAGTCCCAGAGGTGCAGGAAGAGGTACCAACATTTTCCTGCATTGCAAGATGGAAAAAAAAGTAGTCTAAGTAACAAAAATAAATAGTTTTTGTATAATTAGCAAAATGTTGGCTTAACATTTTATTTTACTACAAATTTCTTTAATCACTACTTTGTCAAGGACAAACCTGTCGCAGGCATGGAAGAAAGAAAGAAACCATGGAAGAATTAGTCAAGTTACTTCATAATCTTGCACCAAAGGCAATTTTATAATTTTTGGGTGATCAAGATTTTGGTCAACTTGACTTTTTCTAAGCTGAAATTGCTGAACTGAATGACTTATTACTTTGTTTTTAAGCGGAAAAAATAATCAAATAATAAAATATTCAACCATTAAGAAGCCCACAACCTCCTTATAAACATTCACTAGAAGACAAAGCAATAGGCTTTTAAGTTCAGTCACTTCAGCTGTTATCAAATGACCCCTAAGTTATTTTCTGGCTTATTAGTGTTGCAAGGATAGGGTAATCATCTTTAAAGGGTTAAGATATAGTCTATACTTAGATTAAAGAGTTTTCAGAATTTTGAAAAGATAAAGATGCAATCACATCACTTTTCTTTCAGCTTGTTTGTTAGGTGTCAACTTGTCCATTTTGCATGATTTTTGGGTCATTAGATAGGTTTTTTTTTCGATAATTAGCAGAGAAACATTTCATTAATATAAACGATAATTTACAATGAGGACTTGAAGGGGTAAAAATACCCCTAAAATACAGACATTACAAATAAGCCCAATACAACTGCTCCCTATTTACCCCTTGCCTTGCTAAAGAATCTTCCAGCCCAGAAGCATCCCTTGAACCCACTGAAATGTTACTGTCAATCCCCTTAACAACCATTTGATCTTCTTCACCACTTCTTGATGTCCAGGCTGCCTTTTTTTCATTCTTTAGCCAGTTTACCATCATTTGGGAGTCTCTTTCAACAATCAGCCTTCAGAAATTTAACTATTACTATTTGTGCCCCACAAAGTAATCCCATCTTTATCTCTAACGCCCCCCCCCCCCCTCCAATGCTTGAGGGGACTGGGTTACCAAAGCTGCTCCCATCAAAATTGAGTTTGATCAAAGGAAAAGGGTGAGAACAAGTCCAAATATTTGACCCAATGAATCACCCTTAACAAAATGCATTCCAAAATTGCATCCAAATTCCTTTCCTCTTCCTTGAAGACCTCTGAATTTCATTCTTCCTAAACTTTGTTAAACTCAACTTTGATGGGAGTTATATAGGTAATCAGGCTGTGGCTAGACTTGGAGGGATTTTCCCAGACACAGAAGGAAAGGTGTTAGCATTATAACCAAGACCCTAAGCAAATGGTAATGCATTGACAGTGGAGCTATGTTGGATTACTCCATGGTTTAAAATTTGCTAAGCAATTTGGATTCCACAACTTGGAGGTGGAAAAGAACTGTCAGGTGGTCATTTCTTGGACAAGATGTAGCTCCCAAATCCCATGGATCTATAGACAAACATTTTGGAAAATAGAAAGCATAACAAGAGAGATGAAAGTTCTCTTTAAATGGGTGAGAAGAACAGCAAATGGGACGGTGGATGTTTTGGGCTAAATAAGGGACAGCTAGGCACCAAATGTTTTGAGCAAAATTATAAACTATAAATTTATCTTTGGGGTGGAGAAAGCTCCCACCCTATCGTAATACTTGAGCTTGAATTTAATAAAATCTCCTCCTATTGATTAAAAACATAGAAAAGAAATAAAATGGCAAGTTAGAGATAGTTGCCTTCATGAGAGTGATCCTACCTCCTTTGGAGAGAGAATTTCTCTTCCACAAATCAAGTCTTCTTTTACAGCTTTTTATAATTGAGTCCCAAAAGTTAGAAGATCTGGGATTTCCTCCTGTTAGTGGTGTTAGTGAAGGGGTATTTCGATCCTTTGTACTTGTTGAGAATGTTGATGTGTACTGTTATGTTAGTTCGAGTGCCTCTTACTTAAAGAAGGGCACTTAAGTCTTTTCCAATAAGTTAATAATATAATAACAGGTCTGGCCGAATCTAGGGAAAATCTTTTTTTTTCTCTAATTCGAACCAGCCTTTCTCTCTTTCCTC